ATAATCAAAGGATCCTAGTTTTTATGGTCTTTTACACCAAATAGGCAACCAATTACAATTAGAATTAGGTGTCCTTTTTTACTTAGATTAGAAGGTTTCTTGAAATATACAAATTTCAGTMTTCTTTCTCTAATACAGTTTGACTTTCTATTTTCTTGATAGCTTCTATTATAAGTTGGTCCGCCCCCTACCAATTTCAGTCTTCTTTCTCCAATCTACCAATTTATTACCATGGTTGAACTTAGAGCCGAAACCGACCCAACCCGACGCAAACCAACTAGGTCGGTTTTTCTTAACGCAGGGTCGGTTTCGGTTTCAATTTCAGGTAACCCGACCAGGTCGGGTCGGTTGAAAAAATCTCGGTAAACCGACCCAACCCGACCCGTGAACAACCCTAGTTGACTGTCACTTTGTGAGAGAGAAGGTGCTGAGTGGAGTGATAGACACTACATATGTTAACACAGGGAACCAGTGGGCAGACTTATTTACTAAAGGATTGAGTCGGGGAAGAGTGCACTACATATGTAACAAACTGGGATTATATGATATATACTCACTAGCTTGAGGGGGAGTGTTAGTGTCGAGTATGTAGGGGTATTTCTGTATTTATACTTATGTTGAGGTTGCTGATGTGTAATATTATGTTAGAACTAATGTCCCTCACTTAAGTAGGGGCACATGTGTCTTTTCCATTATGTTAGTAATATAAAACATATCTGGTCAAATGGGAGAGGTAATTTTTCTCTCATTTGAAGTAGACTTTTCTTCTCTCCTTCTCTCCTCCTTTCTCTCTCTTTCTTTCTTCTTTCTTCTTCTCTCTTCTTGACTGTTATCAGACTAACAGAACTCAAGGGCAGGCCGAATCATAATAGATGGTAACTATTTCAGAATTCAGGATGGATGAACACGTAATCATTTTTAATATAGATCACATAGAATAAGTTAAGATGGATTTCTCAGATTAGATTGGCAATAAAAGGTTAACATGAAGGCTAAAGTTGTGCAGAAAATGTGGATTTACTATGATCTCAAGGACAATCATGAAAAAGAATCACTTTCAAATATGGACAATAAGAAGAGAATTTAAGAATGTAGGCACTTATGATACACAAATATGTCTACATCTATCAACATAATACAACCAGGGCATGGATATGGGATTTGTGTAGGCTATGTCTTAGGGCCTGTTTGTTTGCCAATATATTGGGCGAGGGGGAATGTTGGTCAATGTGGAAGTTGACCAACTTCCCCACGTTCTTTTGCAGGGAAGTGTAGGGCCCAAGGAAAGTGAACTTTCTTAGGTAAGTTTTACCCTTATCCCGGGTGGGTAAATCACTTACTCATGGAGGAGGAAAGTTGTCCAAACTATTGTGTGATTAAAATACCCCTGCCAGCACATAGAAGTTAGGGATCCTTTGGGAAACTGTCTCATTTACCCAGCTAACATTTTCCCGACAAAAGAACATAGGTAAGTGCATTTTACCTGGGTAAACAACTTCCTAGAAAATGAATGAGGACTTGGTATGGTAAAGGAATATGTAGCTAAAGGTTAAAAGAGTATGTTACATGAGACTAGCATTTCCACCATCCCTACACATCAGAGCAACACAGATGGAGACTAGCATGCTTGCAAATAAGATTCTACATAAACGAAGGAATCGGATACTTCTTTTAAGGAACTTTTGGATTTGGATGAGGGAAAAGTTTCAAGATATCACTATTGATAATGTGGTGAGTTGGCTTCATGTAGCTACTTAACTGACTATAGGACAAATTTCTGAAGTGACTTCATTTCCACCATCCCTTGGAACAGTTAAGCTTAACGTTGATGGAATTCTCTATAACATTGGGAGGTCAGCAGTAATTATGGAGGATCTATATTATTTGTGTATTCAAGATATATTGGTGTATGAACTCCTTCAGAGCACAGTTGTTTCATTTCTCAAGGGGCCAAGACATGCCTTCTCCTGGGTTTGATGGAGTGGGCAGCCAATTCTATAGATGATAGAGTAATGAGTAGTATAGGCAAGACTGAGTTCTACTGGGTTACAGTTTCCAGATTAGGTTTGATATTTTGGGGGTTCTCTTTGCTGTCACTATACTGGGGGAATTGTGTGGTCTAGGGTGCAAGCCATTGTTCTCTTATCAAGGTTCTAAATATCATATGATACGCTGGATGGGGCGTATCAGCCTGTATCACTGCCCGCTTTTATTTTTTTTTAGTTTTTTTTCAAACCTGTTCAGGGGGGTCGGTATAAGGCCTGTCTACCCCCTGAAACAGGTCAAACCCCAAAACACTTACTGTAGGGGTGTATTGGAGGGTCACCAGATATGTATTGGCCTATACACTCCAATACATTGCAAAATTTCAATCCCTGCTCTTATTGTTATTTTTTATATCTTTAGTAAAATAGTTAAGTATTTAATACTCGCATTAATCAACCAGTTAAGACCACTAAGAAAGTCTTGTATTTGGGACTTCTGTTTCTTTATAATGCATTTTTAACTGCCTCAATGGAGATACTGGTTTAGAAAAAAAAAGTGGAGATTTAATAGGAAAATAAAAGTTGTGCCCTTTATGCAGTACCAAGGATAGAGTAAAGAAACCAAAAAAATTAAAGAATAGAAAAAGAATAGGAACCCCTTACCTCACAAAATCAAGGCGCCATCCATCAAAACCAATGCTATTACGAAGCCAATTTAGCCACTCCTTGATATCTTTTCGCACAAAATCTTGGGAATGGTCGATGTTGGGTGCTGCATGAAATATATCACCTGCAGACAGATAGGTACAAAGGTAATCAAGTGAAATCAAAATCCAATTATCAAGGTCAGTAGCTGGCAAGAAATCATGAAAAAGAAATCTTATTGGCTTCTGGTTATAAAATTTGTAATATTTTCCTTCTAAACAAGACTTTAATCAAAGGGCACAATCATGCATGATAATTTGGAAGCTTGGTGGCTTCTGAGTGTTTATGCGTGAGGGCCAAAAAGGGGCTCCAGATGAAGTGGGGGATATAGACTTCTGGGAGTTCATTATTGGAAGTCAGATACAGAAGATAGCTGCCCATATCATTTCTATAATTTGAATCTTACATCAGCAGTGGAAGTAAAAGTATAATGTGCACAACAGATAGGATGGTTTATGAAATTATGATCATTTGGAATGAAAGTTCTGGGTATAATGTGCAGAGCAGATAGGAAAGTTTATGAACTGAGGATTTAATGTGTACATCTGCTGCCAGCACTGCAGATGTACATGCTAAATCTTCAGGGTGAGGTCAAAACAGATTAGTGCTCTTTTGATCAACTGAGGATTTATGCAGTTAAAATTGTTTTAGCTATCTCTTTGTGCGCTGGAGAAGGGGGCTTCTAAATCTTTCCTATTTGAGAAAGGAAAACTTTTATTAGTATAGACTTCCCAAACTCCTAGTCCTAGTTTATTTGAACTTAGAAGGAAAAAGCTGCTACAATATTCATTTTGAGAGCATAACTTAAATAAAAGGTCACTTTACAATTCAGTTGTATATGGTGCAGAATTGTTCTTTAGAAGAAATCGAGAAATTACATACTTAGAATCTTTTTGATAGCAAAAGAAAAATAAATTTTATAAAAAATAAGAGTCTGATTACATCCATAACAAGGTGTTATGGTAACACCTTAGAAAAAAAAAAAAACTAATCGTAGATACAGACAGAATCACATTCCAGCACCTCCAAAAAATCTCTGCTGAACTCATTTAAGAAATTTGATCAGTAAGCAAATTAGTCAACCCACTTACGAGAGGAGGGTTTGGACATGTGGCCTACAAGGTGCTTAATTCATGCCATCGCTAACAATGTGTTTAGTTGCAAAGAAAATAGAATAGGGAAACAAAAATTTAAAAGAAGGTGACTCTCCTACCAATAAAAAAAAATGACTTGGTTTAGATGATAAGGAAAGGCAAAGAAAAACAATGGGTGTGATGATTTATATTCGTCAGTTTCAGATCTGAACTTGATGTAAAGAAGAAGAGAGAGAGGGAGAGAAGAAAAGAAGGAGAAATAGAAGAAGAAGAAACCTGTTCGAACCCAAAAGAAGAGAATAAAATAGTCCGCATTCTCTCTTAGGTCGGCCAGGATATATAGTTTACTAAAATAAATAGCAAATGTCTTTTATACCCCTATTTAAGTTGGGACACATCAGCACTAACTAAAAGACACATCACCATATTAATAAAACTCAAATGATTATTCTACCCTTATTTAGTCGACACTAACAATGGGCATCTTTCTTTTCTTTCCTTTTTCTCTTTCTTATTTTTCTTCTCTCATTTCCTTACAACCAAAAACAGTGTAAAGGAATAAATTGGGAGCATGTTTGTTAATCGGTCATTTAGTTAAAGTTTAAATGACCCAATTAAGCTTGGAGACCTTCTTTGGGGCTCAATAGAAGTCACCATGTTCCTCTCCCTACCCTTTTGAATAAAATAATTAAATGTTTGGATAACCACTACTAGTCAGGTAAACATCTATGAGGCCATGCATACCAGGATTGTGCAAAAGGGACAATCCAGAGGGTTCTCTATTTGATGGAGAGTTAGAATTTTGCAGGACAAATAGGTGGGGTTGTTTAGGAAACTTTCCTAATTGATCCGAGTAGACACCTATTTTCCATATATAGATGGATAGATATACATAGCCATAATAATGATCCATTTCTGCAGATACTGAAGCAAGGAAAGAATTCATGGAGAAACAAATCGTTTTATTTTTTCCATTTCTAGACCAATTTCATAATTTTTATGTCATAGGATATTGATATTGTTTGAGCATTTTTTTTTTTTAATTTATATTGTAGTTGCAGGTGTCTTAAGAATAGGGTTATGCTTTCTATAAATATATTGTTGTTTCAATATTATTATTTGTGGTACCTTTTGGACTTGCTATTTAAATTAATTCACATAATTGCATGGTATGGGAGGAAAGGAATGCACGAATCTTCAATGAGAAGTATCAATCAAAACAAGAAATTGTTGAAACCATAAAGATAAGAGTTGCAAACTGGGTAAAATCACTAGAACTCTTGTAAATCTTCTCAATGGTTGACATAATTAGGGCGTGGAATGAAGTGGCACAATCTAGGAAGAAGGAAAGGTAATGGAATGGAACCCCCAGCTAATAAAAAAATCAAGCTGAATTTTGTTGGAAGCTCTATGGGAAATCCAGGATTGGCAGGCATTGGTGGTGTGTTTAGAGATTCCTCAAGCAAAGTGGTGGCAATATATTCAGGCCCGTTAGGGGTAGGTGATTTAAAAAACTTGCTAAGCAGGCCTTGATTTAAAAAACTTAAAGATTGAAGGTAATTCTAAACTGGTGATTTCTTGGATTACCAACAGAGATAATGTTCCATGGATTTACAGACATTCCATAAGGAAGATTGAAAGCCTTGCAAGGGAGCTAAATGCATCTTTTACATGGATTAGGAGGACTGCAAATGGGATGGCCGACTCATTAGCCAAACAGGGGGTCTAAAGGAAGCAATTATTTTGGGCTTTATTGTAATATTCTGTAGGGCAATGACCGTCTTTTTTTGCTTTACTGTAATTCTGTAATTCTATATCTTGTTCACTTAATTAATAAAATTCTTCTTTGCTGATAAAAAAAAGTTACTAGAGTTGTCTAGGAGTTGAAGTCCTTATTGAAGTGTCCTTATGGGTAACTTTTTTTTATGGATAACATATTAAATTTTATAGATTGTGAGAAAAGTGTATACAACCAGTGCCTAGCACACCAAAACAGGCCAGATAATACAAAAACTTTCTAAACTAATTAGGTTTACATCAAGAAGCCCATTTGTACCCCAAAAGAGCTGCTTTTTGTTCACCCCGTGTTGAGAGCCCTAAGCACCGACTGAAAACACTTGATAAAATGTCCTTTCCCCAAGATTTTTCCTTTCTCATAACTGTTCTGAACTGCCATGTAACCGGGTTATCATTTCTAAGTGTAGAGATCATTAATGTGGTCCCCATCTGTTTTATTAGTTTATTATGTTTAATGTTTAGTGTTTCTGTTTAGTTTCAGCCAACAGTTATTTTCTGTTAGTAGTTATTTATATTTTTTGTAAACAGTAGGGGCAATTCAGGTTTTTCCCCTTTATTTAATTGTTAATATAAATAGCAGTTAGGGGGCGACAGTCAAACTGATCACCCATATTCTGACTTCTTCTCTTCGTTTTCTCCTTCTCTTCTCCTCTCCTTCTTCTCTAATTCTCAGATCTTTTTTCTTGATTCTATATATTATATCTAGGACTGATTACAGTCCCACTCGACAACTTGGTATCAGAGCCAACCTAGGGCTTCTCATGTCAGTCTAATCAGGCTGACTACATGAGAACTTCCTTGGGTTGGAAGTTTTCAGCAAAACAAGACCATCGGCTGATTATTGGAGATTGTTGGCAGTGTGCAGCTACTACTCAAGAGGCCATAGAGCCTTGGAGAGTGTCCAGCAATCAGGAAGAGTCAGAAGAAGGGAAGAATTTTCAAAATTAGGGTTCAGACTTGGTTTTGAAGGTGGCGGCCAGAGTTTTTTCTGAAGTCGAGTTCTTTTTAGATTGATCTATTAAAAGAACCTTTTTGGTTATTCTAAGAGGTGTGGCTGAGAGATCTCCCTTCTCTCCTGAGTCTTTGGGGTTTTTCTTGACCTACGACTAGTTCTAGCATTAAAACCCTAAACCTTTGACTGTCGCCAATTCTAGGGTATCAGTTAAATCAGTTACAGATTTGCAGACCAAGGTATTTAGTTTTCTGGAAGAACAACAGAGCTGTTCTATTATTTCTGGGTGGATTGCTGACCTAGAAGGGTAAAGTAGGTTCGGCTGTTAACAAATTCTGGGTGTAATTACCTAGTCTCAGTGCTAAAAGAGGTGTTTTTTGACCTTTATCTTGACAAAGAATGGAGTTTAAGAGCCAAGGGGAAGGTGTTCTAGGGGCCGGAAGTTCAGGTAACATGTCTGAGAACACTTTTTAGACTACCACTGTCAAGTTTGATGGTTTAAATTACTTGGAATGGGCTCAATCAGTCATGATGGCTATTGGGGGTAGAGGAAAACTGAACTATTTGATGGGGGATGTGAAGGAACCGACTAAGGAGGACCCAACCTATGCCAAATGGGTTTAGGAGAATTATTTGGTTATGACATGGCTGTGTAACTCCACGCAGCCCCACATCAGCCGAAATTACTTGTGGGAAAAAACAACTAAGGAAATTTGGGACATCATGAAAGAAACCTATTCCCAACCTCTTAATGTTTCTAGGGCCTATGAGCTGAAATGTGAAGTAAACAACCTTAAGCAAGGAGAGAAGCCAGTCTCAGTTTACTTCTCACCCTTGAAATCCCTGCGGCATGAAATTGATCACCTAGAGGCAATTGACTGGGAAAGTCAAAAGGATGCACAAACTTACAGGAAGCAAGTGGAAACTAATAGGGTGTTTGAATTCTTAGCTGGCCTGAATTCTGAGTATGATATTATGAGACAACAGCTTCTCACGAGAGAAAGTGTGGCCTTATCACAAGCCTATGCCTTAGTGCACAGTGAAGAAAGTAGGAGGAAAGTTATGCTGCAGCATCAACCTTTTGAATCAGCCTTGGCAACAGTCAAACCGAAGTTTGGGGGTGATAAGGAGAGGAATATGAAAAAGGAAGATAAGAGAGAGCTAGTATGTGAACATTGCAAGAAACCAAAGCATACTAAAGACACATGTTGGAAGTTATATCCACATCTAGTTCCAGCAAAG